ATACTGCACATAAATATTCTGCCTTTCAGAAAGTAGCAGAACGAACCTTTGACGAGCAGTGTTGGAAGCTAGCTGACAACACAACGATCTGAACGCACGATTGGTCTCGACCGCTTCCGTCCTGTGCAAACTGAACTGAACTAAACTGGGACGAGCTTTTTCTTTTCCCTTCCAGCAAGGACGCCGCACTGAAGGCATTTCGCAGTGGTGGGTGCACACCTTGTGAGCATACTGCCGGAAGAAATCTAAACGCTCGATTGGCCGTGGCCATTATCAGTCCTGTGCAACCAAAATTTTGAAGTAATCTCGTTGAAAATAAGTTTGGTACTGTTTACGTGGAATATCCTACGACATTTCACATTTTACTGACAGGAAATCTGTCTGAGCATTTGTCAAGTGTATTTGCTGTGACCCCTTATAAGGCCGCATTACATATACAGTGATAGTTTGCTCACCGTTAGTTTTCACTGCAGTGCGTTAAAATGCCCGGTAAAGCGAACTATACAGTCCGTTTTACTACTTTACTTTTAAACGAAAGCTTGATAGTAAAATATCTAGCTTCAGTTATACCGTTTTCTAAAGGTTTTTGCAAACTAGCTCCGTAAACTGTTTTTCAGTAATTACTGACGCTCTTTTAACGTTTTGTGTTATACAGTAAATTTGGTGTCCTATATTTATCAGTTCACCTGCATTGCGCAGTCTTTGTTCAAAATATGCCACGTGTCAACTTCCAGTGTCTGAATGAAACGTGCAGTATAAAGGTGGTAAGTGGTAATGTGCGACGTATGTATAAAATGGGCTCACCAAAAGTGTACAGGGGTCTCAACGGAGATCTACACTTTGTACAGTAAACATAATGGACTTAAATGGGTGTCCAACGGTTGCAATATGATCGCATATCAGCACATAGCTCAGAGTGCTGTCCCCGAAAAGTCACCAAGACTGGTGAAGACAAAACGAGTGAAAATTATGGAAGAAATGACTGCAGAGGTGGCAGCCAAAACTTATGCCGAGGTGGTGAAAAAATCATCTGGCCAATTTGTTCCAGTAACACGTCAATTGCAATCAAATGCTAAGACTGTCAAATCTAAGCCGAAGACAGTAAATCCGCGCATCGCCAAAAGAGCCCAGGGTATTCTGGGTAACAGCCTGCACCACATCGAGAGTGAACAGCACAAGTTGTGTGTTGAAGTAGCCTAGATCAAGGCTGTTCGGGTAAACAGAACGTCTAGGTGCAACACGCCACTGGTCCTGAAAAAAGAGGAACCAATAGTCAGGGAGTCTAAAACTCGCCGCGAACTGGACCGCTGCCGAGTAACTTATCCTCAGACTGGTGGGCTTAGATCCAAAATGCCACATAAAAAGAATACATAGAGTAGGGTTTAGAAGTAGCCAGACCTGAACTAAGTGTCCGCGGCCCGACCGATACTAGCGGGAAATCTCCTCGCCTGATTGGTTAGAGACCTCAGGTACACATGCGTTCGTATACACAGATCACGTGTGACAAGATAGTCAGTTTTAGAATAATTCTAACAGTCAACCCCGAGTTCACATCACTTCAAAGCTTCCGGCTGAAGTAGAATTTATTTCTTATGTTCCCACTCTAAATACTAACTTCAAGGAAAGTTGCTGAGCAACATGCGTCCAGTGCCACGATGAAGGCGTTAACATTGATGCCGGTGACCACTTATGCAGGTAATCTGGTCCACATAGATATGACCCTGTGTGCGGAGAATTTGGCCCGTACTTCTAACCTGGCGTGGTTCTGATGAAGCTTATAGCCATGACCTCTCGTGTTCTGAGCACGTGAAGTCGTAAACAAGTCGTCTAGGTTGATTCCCGATAGACCTCTTACAATTTTGAAAGTCTCTATCTGATCTCTCCTCACTCTTCTACGCTCCGGCGAAAAGAGATCAAGATCTCTCAACCGCTGCGCATAGCTCTTCCCCTTTTGCCCAGCCACCATTCGGGTAGCTAGGCGCTGCACTCTTTCTAAACAAGATACATCCCTTCTTTAATACGGTACCCACGTCTGCACACAATATTCCATGTGTGGGCGAACAATCGACTTATACAGGGGGAGAAACACCTCACGCCATCTGTATGCTACTGTAGCACAGCCTGAACAGCTGCCCCCTGTCCTGATTCGCAGCTTTGGCGCAATGGGTTGATGGTTTAAAATCCTGGGTCATAAGAACCCCTAGGTCCGTCATCTGCGGAGCTGCCGCATGGGAGCTCCATTCAACGAGTATGCCCCCACTCTCGTTCCCAAGAACCTACACTTGTTTAGATTCAAAGGTAAGTCCCACTTGACCGACCATCGATGGACTACGTCTAGGTTCCTTTGCAGGCTTAACCCTGTCATTTTGACATCCTCAGGAAACGTGAAACAGGGATTTTGAAGATCCTGTGCCAGATCGTTCATGAATATGAGAAAAAGTAAGGGGCCTAGCACTGAGCCCTAGGGAACTCCACTCGTAACCATCTCATGGTTAGAAATGTAGTCACCCACCTTGACCCGGAAGGTGCGGTTGTTCAAAAAGGCTACAATCCAGTCCCCGGCTCTACCTGTTATGCCTTGGCTCCGAACTTTGAAGTCCAACAATCTATGGCTGACAGAGTCAAATGCTTTACTGAAGTCTAATTAACAGACTTCTACATTTTTCTCCTCATACATACTTTGAGTGACTTCGTCCAGGTATACAAGCAGGTTCGTAAGACATGATTTCCGTTGCACAAAGCCATGCTGTGCCGGTGTTAGGAGTCGATTGTTAGTCAGATGTAGGTAAATCTGCCTTCTGATTAGTTGCTCCAGACACCTAAACAACACTGACGTTAGGCTAACGGGTCTGTAGGTTTCTGTTTCATATTTCGGTCCGGCCTTGTGCAGTGCTACTACGGTAGCTGTAGGCGAGTCCTGGGGTAGCGCAGCAGTTTGCACTGATTCCCTAAACATTACAATCAGCGGCCCGGCTAGCACCCCGGCCAGCGGCTGCACTATGGCTGGGTGGGTTCTATCCGGACCTGCTGACTTGTGCTTTTTCAGCGTCTGGAGTTCTCGATGTAAATCTGTTTTACAGATGACAGTATCGGCAAACTCTGACGTATCAGCTGATCCTGCTAAACCCAGGTTGTCATAGTCGACTGGGTTCCTATGCACGCTCTTGAAGAACTTAAGTGGGGTTTCCGCTTTATCGTGATTACACGTAGCTATGCCTCCATCGGACAAAGCTAGTGCTTTTACACTCTCCCGTGTGCGTGCGTCGGCTTGCACGTATGAATACAAGCTTTTGGGATTCTTTTTGACGCCTCGTGCTAAGTTAAACTGGAAGTCATATTTGGCATGCCTTTGAAGGTCCTGACATCTGTTTCGTGCTTGCTTGTAGTCACTCCAGCTTGTTGAGTGCCGTAAAGCTTAAATCGATCTCAGCATTGTCTGCGAATTTTCCGCGCCCACTCTATCCCGGACTTCCACCATATTGTTCGATGTCTGGTTCGTCCTTCACTCAGTGGCGCGAACCTTTCTGTGAGGTTAGTTAACCCTCTTTTAACTACGTCCCATCTATCTTGCATGGTACACTCCTGGGACGTCGGGGACCAGCTGATGATATTTGCAGCCTGTAGCAACTCTTGGACGTTTATGCGCCCATAGAGCCGGATGAGGGTGGGTCCTTGTCTACGATAGCTAACCGTTAGTCTAAAGCGAATCACTTCGTGATCGCTTTTGCCCAACGGTTCCTCCATATTTAAACTAGTTATGTCCGAGCTGTACCTTGTGATAATTAAGTCAAGCAGCGAGGGACGCTGTTGTTCTCGATATCTCGTCGCTTTTATGACATGTTGTGAGAGAGCTCTTTCCTGTAGCTACTTCAGCAACTGTTCCCGTTGAGACCTTGCAGTCGTGGATCCATGTGCCCAGGATATCTCCGGGAAGTTGAAGTCACCTATCACGAGAAACCTCTGGTGACTAGCCAGGGTTTCTTGCATAAATCGCAACAGCTCTGTATCTTCCCGGGGAGTTGCAAAAGGGGCACGGTAGACACCTAGTATGCCTATCTGCCTTCTTCCCAGTTGGACACAGCATCCAACTGCTTGGATGTTAGGGGTAGCGAAGATCAACTGTGTTTCCCACTGGATGAGGGATGATTTAACTAATATTAGCACACCGCCGCCTTGTCTGCTGTCTACTCTATCCTGCCGGTAACTAGTATAGCCTCCCAGGTCTGCTATAGCTTGCAGTTCCCGCAACCAGGATTCCGTAATAACGACGATTTCGGATCCCTGGGATCGTGCTGCAATCTCGCCCATTTACCTCGGACGCTACAAGCGTTAGTCTACCAAAGTATTTCGCGCTTGTAGCTGTTCCGAATGCGGCTCTTTTATACTCTTGGAGTCCTCGGGCACAATACCCGATGGATAACCTCGTTTTTCGCTGTTGTGTAACAGCCGGAGGAGGGCTCCGCTATCCACGATTTTCCGCATTTAGATCTACCCAGTCTACTGACTTGGATGCGGCGTGACTTTTTGAGGAACTCTAGGTCCTCGCGTCCGGAACTGGTAACTGTGCCCAACCCTGGCCGGCGTTTCGGTGTATTCGCTACTACTGTTGCCCACCTGCGGTCCTCCGACACCTTTTCGCGTGAAGAAGTTCCCTGCTCTCCGTTCCTGCGATTATCTTGCTCTGAGGTTGCGGATTTCTGTGCTAGATGTTTTAGCTTCGCAGTTGCTGCTGGGCTGAAAGTGGTAGTGGTTTTCTCCGCTCCAACCACTTTCGCTTCGCTACCCCTTAACTCTCGCAGCGGATTCTCTTTAGATTTTGGGGGTGACTTACTCGACAGTGAACCCTTCGGTCCTTGTGTACCCTTTGGTGTGCATACCTGACCTTGAGCCTTCGTTGAGTTGGTCGCCGATCTGTGTTTTTCGGGCGCTCCTACTCTTCTTAGCTTAACTACTGCATTCTTCGGCGGCCCTACTTCTTGTTTACCGGTGGGTGGCCAGTTTGTTCTACGGATCACCGTACCATTATCTGGGGTGACAATTATGCTGAGCTGGACAATGGGCGGTCGCTCGCTCGTGAGGACTAATATTATAGGCCAGGGTTGGGTGGCCCTTTCGCCTTTCCATAGTCCCACCCTATGACACTTCATAATTACCGTCATGGTAGGCATCCCCGTTAGCCTAAGCGCTATCTGCACATACTTCTGGTCCGCAGATAGAGTTATATCAACATAAATCATCATCTGTTTGGAAGGATTTTCAAACATTCAACATAAAATACCGTGGTAAGGCGCTAGGTGACCGTTTAGCACCCTGTCACTTTCCAAGGCGCAAAACGCGTTTGATTTACACCTCTAAAGTCTTTTGAGCTAGCCGGATCACGCTTCTAACTTAGTGTAGGAGTGTTTGCTTGCCGCTGCGCGTTTCTTTACAAAACGGCTCTGGGTTGCTCCTGATAACGACACTTCTGTTTTTCCCTAGGGCTGTGTTAGTGTGGGCCTCAAGCCTAAGCAGGGAGTCCCTCAGGCTGGTGGTGACTTCGGAGAACTTCGTAATGGTCTCCTTGTGACCGTCCATGCGCGCATCAAGTGCCCCTTTCCTTGGTGGCAAGTGACACTGGTAAGCTTGTTGGTTCCCGGTCTNCACGCTAATCCCTGCGGTTGCCGAGTTAGCCGATTTGGCAGCGCGTACCTTGAGGCTGGACTTTACCCCTAGGCTTATGGGTGCCGCTGACGTGGTTTGTTGTTCATCACGCTCAGGTATCCCCACTAAAATCCATTCCCGGTCATTAACTATTTCAGACAGGTTTTCCTCCCCAGGCATCAGAGTATCTAGCTCGGAGTTACTTCTGTTTATCTCCCTACTCGGGGTCCAGTTACACGGAGGAGTTTGTACCGCCATCTGTGAAGGAGAGTTTCCATTCGGCGTGAGCTTTCGCCCAGAATATTCCGATAGAGCTGGTGCAGTTTGGACAAACCCATTTCAGAAACTTCTGGACAGCATAGTGTTCAACTGCCTTGAAAGTTAGTTTACTGCACGGTTGGTGAAACCAATCCTGGCACCGATCAAAATTAATGCCATGAATCACCTCGAGAGAACACTCTCTTCTGGCACACGGGTCGGGTGCAATAACCGGTTTGGCTCGTGTAGCCCCTTTA